AATTCAGTGAGATATATAGAGTTAAAAAAAAAAAAAAGAAGAAAGAAAAGAAAGAAAAATAAAGAGGATTTTGAAAATTCCAGCCTATGACCAGAAGGCACATGATGTAAACAGACAGCAATACAATTATTAACAGGTGCTTAGAAATTTGAAAAAAAAATTGCCATCTTAGAATCAGTAATCGTTACATAAATATTAAGAGGGACCATGTGTCAGACTAGTTTGAATTTATGGTTTTTAATACCCATCACTAGACAGTAATCCTGGACAGTACTCCAGTCAAAGCCATTATACATGAACACAAGTTATTAATAGTGTTATGTACCCAGTAGCTACACAACATAGAAAGTTATTAACATATTTAGTTACTTTCATGTTTTGTTTTTGTAATTACATAATTACATCATGTGTCAGTGTTTGTGTTTCTCTTGTTTGTTAGCTCAATTTTGGTCACTTCTGTTAGATAACTTACTTCACCTTACATGTTGACATTGTGTAGTTTGTTCCGCTAAACCCACCTCTTTTAATGGCCCAGAACTATGACTTCCAATTACAATTTGATCGGTTTTCCATTTTTAGGTAAAACAAAAGACATTTGTTTCAAAAACTACACATGTGACCAAATGTTTAGCCAGTGGCACCAACATAAAATCATAAAATCATTGAAATCATTTATTTCACACTAAAAATTCTTTAAACTTACTTTAAACCTCACCATATCATGAAAACATTTCAAAAATAATCTATATAAAAAAATGAAGCAGCAATGTGCATGAGAAACAAAATTTTGGCTATGACTGCACACCGTGTTACTAACCACCTTGGCCCTTCACAATTATTTATTCTGAATGAAGGGTATTTAATCCTAGTGTTGCAGTTCAACCCCACTTCAAAAGCACTGACAGAAGGACTGTGGCACCTGACAAGTTTACAACTTATATATTTTATGCCAGTACAAAATAAAACTCTGCCACACACACCACCCCCTGGTCTGAAATGACTTTAAAATTTGTGAACAAAATCCTCAAAGAGGTTAAGCATATTACTATAGATTACTACATTTCTAGAGAGAAAGGTAAGCATAGCAGGATAACATTAGTCACCTTATCAAGCACACCTGACAATCTAAAGCACTCTAGTACGGTGCTGGGTCCACTTTTATGATGCCCATAATGTTCCTTTTTCCCCGACACTGTCACAGCTGTGTTAATTGTTAACCAAGACCTCCATCACCTCGACAGATATATCAGAAATCGCTGGTTGGCACAAAGTCACGTGGACTGTTAGTAAAACTTTAAACACATCAGCAAACCCTAACTCCACATATTACATTAATATAAAAAAATATTAACATTAAATACATCAAGTATATTTTTGACAAATGAATGAATGAAGAATAAATGTAAACTTAATTAATGGGGAATAATTCAAGAGTTAAATTTTATGCCCAAGAGTGCGTTATTTCAGTCTGCCCTGCAGAGGTAACGGAGAAGTAATTTATATATGGGTATCACTATTACAACAAAACAAATCCATCCAAACCACTACACCAGTATGCAGTATGCACTGCTAACACGCCCAGTGTATCTTTCACAAAAGGCTTTATTTACTAAAACTCTGTGGCGAGTGCACATGCAGGCTTCTTCCCCCCTTTTATCTGCTTTTCCCTGTCTTGGAGTTTGTGTCTCACTCGTCTTCCTCATCCTGCTCTGTTCATGACTGTCTCTCTCCTCATTTCCTGCCGCTGTCTGCTTCTCTCTCTTCTGCAGAGGCTAGACCCAAAAATTTCCCTAAGCTTCCACTAACAGTTTGTCGGCACATGCAAACATCACTCATAAGGGTGCTACTGTCAGTTAGATTCAAAAAGTTGGATGTCAAAACCTAGACAATGGTGCTATCATTAACAAAAATAATAATACTTACACTACCTCATACACTTTAATTGCTTCCTGTAACCAACATCATTGATAAACAAACAAACAAAAAGTAGACAGTTTGTGTGTCTGTGTTAGATATTTTTAATTTCTAAATTAAAAATGAAAAACGGGGGGGG